AATATCATTAAAATCAAAATTATTAGTATCCGACTTAATATCGTCAAAAGGATAACATAACAAATACAAGAATAATAAAGGTTAAAATATTTTATAATAATATAATTTAAGTGCCATTGAATAATTACAAGATATATATATATATATTAATCCCCAACTAACAATGAATATTTAATAAATATCCTATGAAACTTGTAAAGACAAAATTATAAATAAAAACGTAAGATAATAACCAAAATTTAACAATTGATAAAACTAATAAATTATATGGTACTAATAATTCACTATGATTAAAATTGAAATGATTTAAATACAAATAATAATAATAATACTAATAACAATAATAATAGCAATAATGAATTCGCATAAATTTTAATAAGACTTACCCTTAGAAATAATAATATATCCTTGACCATCAACATTTTAATTCAGCACTGCTTGATTTTCTTGCCAAACCTATTGACGCCTAAAAACAAATAAAAATGAATATATGTTCTTAGACCATAAATTAATAAAAATATTAATGATTAAAAAATTTCAGAAACAAAATTTTGGTAGTAAAATCTAGCTTCAAATTCTACAATATAATTCTAACAATTATACATATGAATATATATATATATATATATATATATATATATATGCATCCACTCTTATAACCAATAATAAATGAATAATAAAACCTTAACAAATAAAATATTCACTTATAATAAGCTAATAACGAAATTTAACCAAATACTAGCGACCCATAACACAAATAATAATTTAAAGTGATCTTACCTGAAAATCAAATAAGAATACCTTATATGGCGAAGTCACGTGACCCCCTCCTGGATGCCTGAAAAATTAATGTAAAATAATATTTGGTCATAAGAATAATAATTTCTAACACGAGGCTGTCAATATTTTATAAAAATTTGCAAAGCATTAAGTATAACAAATGGATAGCATCTATATGCTTAAGGCATATACACATGAGCCAATGAAAAGAAAGAAAAACCAACTAGCATAAATGAACAAAATAATATAAAATTTAGATTAAAATAATTAAAAAATCAGAATAAGGCCAATGAACATCATCAAAAATCAACCATGAACATTTACGATCACACTCTTCTATATATGAATGCATGTACCAAGCCTTATAAAATATTAACACTTCATATAAAAAGTTTTCAACTATAATAATCCCCCTTTTTCAAGTACTTTAATGACAAAATTTCATAATACCAAACCTTATTAAGTATAATTATGTCAGAATATTACTTACTAGTAAGTCTTCATATGACGAAAATAAATGGACACCCTATATTCGTGTTCCTACACACCGGGTACCCCCCTGGCAAAAGTATCACCTGAATTAATAAAATAATAATATTAAGGATGGACATCTATAGCTACTATGAATATAAAATGTATATACACAATTGTGAAATGCACGAACATTCACATATGAGCACTCTTATACGTATATATATATATATATATATATACATATATATATACGTGCATATGAACATATGCAAATTTAATAATGTAAGACTAAAATCTTCCAAGAAATGAATAAGGCCCAGCTGCATAACGTGTGAAATAACACTCAAAAAATTAGAATCTAAATTTAAAAACTTTATTAAATAAAAATAAAAAATTTCAACAATGAATATAATGACAGCAACTTCTTACCATGCATAATATACATATATCATTAAGTCAAAGGAAATAAAACGTGAAAACACGAGAGAAATAGAGAAATAATACGTGTACTTACGAATAATATTGCACAAAGAATATTATGCGTATAACTCTACGAGTCGAACAAGCGTGCAAGGCCAAGTCCAGCACGTCGCGTTATCTCCATTGGAATTTTTAAACATCCTCTCCCGACCTAAAGGCAGAGGGAAGATCTAAATTCGCGCTCGCATGAATGCAAACCAAATTAATACATCAACTTCTCTTTTATAATTAAGCATTAACAAAGTATTCTCTATTAATATTATACTATTATCCAGTATCATATACCTCTATATACATATATATGCATACTATATGTGACATATGAACTGACTACATATACACATATGCATACATATTTTATAACAAAATCCAATAAAATAAAGGTAGAGACGTAATAAACAATCGTCAGGACGAAAAATTAACATATATTAATAGATAAAAATATACACCTTTATATATATATGCATACTATATGTAACCTATAAATCGAATAAATTTACATATACGCATATATATTTTATAACCAAACTCAATAAAATAACGGTATAAATACAATAAATACGCGTCGCGATAGAAATTGACACATATATATATTAACATGTCCAGAAATCTCCTAATACCAAACCACACCCATAAAGCAAAAATATGAAAAAGTCAACAAAAAAAAAAAAGCATACATTAAATATTGATTCTAATCATGTCAAGTCACTTGAATTTTTAATAACCCTATTTTATTGCATATTTTTAGCTTATCTCGAGCTTCCAAAACACTATAATTAAGTACCTTTTTATTAAGTACTTTTTGAGTTATAAGGCTTGAAATAATTTCTTAATTTTATATAAACCATAAAATATCTAGTAAACTATTCATTTTTCGATTATCTTACCTTCATACTTTTATGTACAAAATAATGAGAGGAATCAATGGTGTAAAGAAAACACATAGTTGTTTCTAAGAAAAAATATGGAATTGTTAATTGCAAATTACATATTTTTTCTTAGAAACAACTATGTGTTTTCTTTACACCAATTGATTCCTCTCATTATTTTGTACATAAAAGTATGAAGGTAAGATAATCGAAAAATGAATGGTTTACTAGATATTTTATGGTTTATGTAAAATTAAGAAATTATTTCAAGCCTTATAACTCAAAAAGTACTTAATAAAAAGGTACTTAATTATAGTGTTTTGGAAAGCTCTCGAGATAAGCTACAAGAATATGCAATGAAAAATAGGGGTTCCCATTTAAAAAATTCAAGTCGACCTCGACATGACTTCACGACGCCACCAAGGTCATCAAATTTACCCATGTAATCATACTATTTCAAAACTTTTGTCTGAACATTTTCAAATAACACTTCTTTCTTTAAATGGGTGTACGGTGTCTGAAATACCTATATGCATACAATATGTAACATATAAATCGAATAAGTTTGCATATACGCATATATACTTTACAACAAAACTCAATAAAATAAAGGTATAAATACAATAAATAAGCGTTGCGATGGAAATTTACAAATATATATCTTAACTTGTCCAAAATTATCCCTATATATACGCATACTATATGTAACATATAAATCGAATAAATTTACATATACGCATATATATTTTATAACCAAACTCAATAAAATAACGGTATAAATACAATAAATACGCGTCGCGATAGAAATTGACACATATATATATTAACATGTCCAGAAATCTCCCTATATATATGCATACAATATGTAACATATAAATCGAATAAGTTTGCATATACGCATATATACTTTACAACAAAACTCAATAAAATAAAGGTATAAATACAATAAATAAGCGTCGCGATGGAAATTTACAAATATATATCTTAACTTGTCCAAAATTATCCCTATATATACGCATACTATATGTAACATATAAATTGACTAAATTTACATATACGCATATATATTTTATAACCAAACTCAATAAAATAACGGTATAAATACAATAAATACGCGTCGCGATAGAAATTAACATATATATATTAACTTGTCCAACAATATCCCTATATGTATATGCATACTATATGCATATACATCTTGTAACAAATTTAACAATAAAACAAAGGAGGAGATATAATAGACTGCTACCGCGACAAAATTAATCAGCACACAAAACATATATATATATATATTACGAATATTAACAAATAATTAATATTAATAACCCCAAGATTTTATACAATAATTATTAATCTTATACGATGATTATTAAATACGATTCAGTAAAAACTTGCTGAAATCAATTTTCATAAGCAATATGCGAATACATATCTATACATATATATATATATATATATGTGCTAATATAAAAGTCGCCCAAATGAAAATCTTCAAAGAATAAAATATTGTCAGAATCAAAAGACCTCTTGAATAAAAGATCACGGTAGAGCGTGCAATGAATTCTTCGAGCACATCCGTCGTGATCATTCTTAGAAGTAAAACGAGCCGCTTTTTCATACGTTGTTCCGAGAATTGTAAGAATAAAATTTCTTTTAGCAACATAATAACTATTAAGCGAAGCGATAATTAATTTCCATATATTCTTATTGTAAAGTTTATTGTAATAATAATGGCTTAACACATTAGAATTTATTAAAATATTATTCATAGGCTTGAGTAATTATTAAAAGTCGACTTTGAAAATTTTAAAATATATACATATAAAACCACAAAAATTCTAATTGTTGAAGCCTTTATTAAATAAATAAAAATATATCTTGTAAATGATAAATCTCAATAATTAGTCTTAAGATAATTATTAAACCTGGGAATAATACATGTAATATGCCAGGTTAAGCCACGTAAACGAATTTTAAAAGGTAATTCATTTAAAAAATATTACTGTTACTAATGTGTCTTATAAAGAGAAAGAATGCGGTGAGCATTCTTCGAAGGACACCCAGCAGATCTATTTTTAGAATAAGAGATAAGCCATCTTCGCATCCGTTGCGTTAGAATCTGCAAAGAAAAACCTCTTACAGCAATCCAAATGCTAAATTTTTCTTTACTAATTATTACTAATTATTAATTTACTAATTATTAATTAATTAATTTTAACTATATGTGCACCATTGTGAAAATCATTGTAATAATAATGGTTTAATACATCAGAATTTACCAAAATATCACTTAAAATTTAAACAATTGCTATAAATCGAACTCAAATTTTCTAATGACATAAATATGATATTATAAAAAATTCTGATTGTTAAAAATCATTATTAAAAATTATTCTAAAATTATTTAATAAATCTAAGACTCAAGACTTGCAATCCCTACCACGAAACTCTCACCCACCACATCGCAAACTCATAGCAGGAAGGGATAGCTCCAGCAGCCGACCCACCAATCACCGAAGAGGCCCACCTCCTCTCCCTACCATTAAACGTCGAACCAGAGGAAGGTATTTAAGGCACCTCGAGAGTCAAGTCAGGGCTTCTAGATCCACGGCCTTTTAGACAAAGTCGGTCAGCCCTCTAACACAGCTCTCTCTACGCCATCAGATCTCCAGCTCTCGAAGAGGAAAAACCTAGAAGCCTACCGGACACCTTAACTTATTCGAAAATAACTTAGTCGCGATTTTGATTTTTTCTTTCGGGACTTAGTCTCAATCTCTATTAAGAGAGCTGTATCAACATTAACACTTTAATAAAGTGCTACCATCCAGCAACCTCTGACTCTTTGGCCATTCTCTGCGCTGCCTTGCCACTTCTTCAGGTTCTCACCGAGGTCGAGCAACCCAGGGAAGGAGCAGCGGTGCCTGTATTCATCCATTGATCCCGTCATCCGGTAAGGAAATAATAAAATAATAATCATTCTTAATCAACCTTGATAATAACTTTGTATATTAGTTCGATTTATTCTAGGCCTATTGACAATTTTCCCAGAATCTTACTTGCCCGTATACAGACTTTAAAGTTTTCTTTCGAGTTGAATAATTTAAATTTCAACCGATCCTCTGAGAACGCTCAAAGCGTATCCTAGAGTGTAGCGTCGTTCGAGTTAGTCACTCGATGTGCATTGAGTAGCAAATTCTACTCCTCTGCCGCTTTCACGGAGAGCTTCTCTGAAAGAATTTCTCCGTGGATCCTGTGCCGCTGTGACGTGACGTCTTGCACATCGATACTAGACTCAGAATCTAAGACTCGCTCCTAGAGGATCTGTCGAAATAATAGAATTTATGCACTGGCTTACAAGTTAACTATCGAAACATTTTATGAATTTTATACTTATCTGAAGTAAGCCAGCCGCTCTCACCCGTATCCTCGTCTGTATCCTTGAATCTCCAGACCTCTCGGTGCAGCCGCATGCTCCTGGAAATTCAAAATATGCTAAATAAATTATCATTCGTTGTATGACAATCTTCCCCGAATCCTACCTGTCCGTATACAGACTTTAAATTTTTCTTTCGAGTTGAATAATTTAAATTTCAACCGACCCTCTGAGAACGCTCAAAGCGTATCCTAGAGTGTAGCGTCGTTCGAGTTAGTCACTCGATGTGCATTGAGTAGCAAATTCTACTCCTCTGCCGCTTTCACGGAGAGCTTCTCTGAAAGAATTTCTCCGTGGATCCTGTGCCGCTGTGACGTGACGTCTTGCACATCGATACTAGACTCAGAATCTAAGACTCGCTCCTAGAGGATCTGTCGAAATAATAGAATTTATGCACTGGCTTACAAGTTAACTATCGAAAACATTTTATGAATTTTATACTTATCTGAAGTAAGCCAGCCGCTCTTACCCGTATCCTTGTCTGTACCCCCTGAATCTCCGGACCTCTCGGTGCAACCACATGCCCCTGAAAATTCAAGATATATTAAATAAATCGTTAATTGCTGTACCCCAATGAACTGTATATAGCCGAACGTTTCAACCATTATATGAGAACGAGCGAGATATACCATCATAATCTACGTTCGTTTATCTCGCAATAATCCATTAAGCCGTATTATTCGTCTTAACTCTATGAACCACCTTGCTGTGACTACATTTACCTTATAAAACCATTCATCTTAACAGGTACCTTTCTACGCATCATCGTAAGTAAACCCCTTTTGTGTTAAATCAATCGCATCAAACATACTAAATAGTCATAATCCCTCGGTAGATGGTTAACCCCCGCCGAACTTCTTCCGTTGGACGCGAAATTCCCCTCCGTGCCGCGGGTATACGCCGCAGGCGTGCCTCCCGGTCGGTACTTAGGCTCCCTACAGCTCGTCAGTTGTTTGCCGACGAGAACGACTTAACAAGCAGAGTAACAAGGTACTCTCCAGTGCGTAGTTTCGCGCCCTCCCGCGCATACCCTTATCGTCCTCCCCGAAACCCTCCAGCGGTTCTTCAAGAGGAAAAACAGCCCAGAGCCAGGCCGCCATCGCCCAATTACTCCCCCATCCAGGATTCATCTAATCCCAGCTACTCGCCGGTCAGGACACCGGAAGATCTTCCTTCCATACCGGAAGAACGAAGACCCATAGAACAAAGCACAGAAACTGAGGCTGGTCCATCCAACCCAGGTCAAGTTCTGGATCCCCCTGAACCAAATTTCTACCCGGAACCAGAGGACCTAGTCTTACCAAGCAGTATCCAACCCCTCGCAGGACTAACAGACGAAGATTTTATCGAGATCTACGAATACTTGCAGCGAGATAATTTCTTCAACAACCGCGAATAATAACTATATCTAGATATCGCCTTAGAAATGCTATAGAGAAGAACATTAACTACATACACACATCTATACGTATAGCGATATACACTATCTACAACTGTCAAATAATAACAATAATAACAATAATAAAAAATTTGTAAAGCTCTAAGGAAGTAAACTAATAAAAGAAAACAGATCAAAAAGGATAAATTGGGTCAGGTTCAACGCACCTAATTTATTTCCCATCGTCAATCCCTCTCCTGAAAGAAGCGCAAAGGATTCTTAGTCTCTCGGCGTCCTAGGGTATAGCCGGCTTGGCAGGTTGCCCTGAAAAAGAAATAGAGAGAAGTTACAATTGCGTAACAAATAAATACGTGAGAAGTTACGATCGAGACGTAACAACGAAATCTCAAAACGTAACAATAGTGTTATTTCACACGTTATGCAGCTGGGCCTTATTCATTTCTTGGAAGATTTTAGTCTTACATTATTAAATTTGCATATGTTCATATGCACGTATATATATATGTATATATATATATATATATATATATATATATATATACGTATAAGAGTGCTCATATGTGAATGTTCGTGCATTTCACAATTGTGTATATACATTTTATATTCATAGTAGCTATAGATGTCCATCCTTAATATTATTATTTTATTAATTCAGGTGATACTTTTGCCAGGGGGGTACCCGGTGTGTAGGAACACGAATATAGGGTGTCCATTTATTTTCGTCATATGAAGACTTACTAGTAAGTAATATTCTGACATAATTATACTTAATAAGGTTTGGTATTATGAAATTTTGTCATTAAAGTACTTGAAAAAAGGGGGATTATTATAGTTGAAAACTTTTTATATGAAGTGTTAATATTTTATAAGGCTTGGTACATGCATTCATATATAGAAGAGTGTGATCGTAAATGTTCATGGTTGATTTTTGATGATGTTCATTGGCCTTATTCTGATTTTTTAATTATTTTAATCTAAATTTTATATTATTTTGTTCATTTATGCTAGTTGGTTTTTCTTTCTTTTCATTGGCTCATGTGTATATGCCTTAAGCATATAGATGCTATCCATTTGTTATACTTAATGCTTTGCAAATTTTTATAAAATATTGACAGCCTCGTGTTAGAAATTATTATTCTTACGACCAAATATTATTTTACATTAATTTTTCAGGCATCCAGGAGGGGGGTCATGTGACTTCGCCATATAAGGTATTCTTATTTGATTTTCAGGTAAGATCAATTTAAATTATTATTTGTGTTGTGGGCCGCTAGTATTTGGTTAAATTTCGTTATTAGCTTATTATAAGTGAATATTTTATTTGTTAAGGTTTTATTATTCATTTATTATTGGTTATAAGAGTGGATGCATATATATATATATATATATATATATATATATATATATTCATATGTATAATTGTTAGAATTATTTTGTAGAATTTGAAGCTAGATTTTACTACCAAAATTTTGTTTCTGAAATTTTTTAATCATTAATATTTTTATTAATTTATGGTCTAAGAACATATATTCATTTTTATTTGTTTTTAGGCGTCAATAGGTTTGGCAAGAAAATCAAGCAGTGCTGAATTAAAATGTTGATGGTCAAGGATATATTATTATTTCTAAGGGTAAGTTTTATTAAAATTTATGCGAATTCATTATTGCTATTATTATTGTTATTAGTATTATTATTATTATTTGTATTTAAATCATTTCAATTTTAATCATAGTGAATTATTAGTACCATATAATTTATTAGTTTTATCAATTGTTAAATTTTGGTTATTATCTTACGTTTTTATTTATAATTTTGTCTTTACAGGTTTCATAGAATATTCATTAAATATTCATTGTTGGTTGGGGATTAATGTATATATGTCTTGTAATTATTCAATGGCACTTAAATTATATTATTGTAAAATATTTTAACATTTATTATTCTTGTATTTGTTATGTTATCCTTGTGACGATATTAAGTCGGATACTAGTAATTTTGATTTTAATGATATTATTTAGAGGGAGAGTTCGTTTGATATTTATACGATTTTGTTTTGTATTTCGATTATTAGTATCGCGATATTATTTAGTGCATAGCTATTATTTATTTGGTTTTATGATTTATAGGTTATACTGGGAGCAGTATATCGATGGTCAATGGAAAATAAAATATTATCGTCGTGAGGGGTTACATCTATATACCCAATATGTTGGAATTATTATCCCAGAGATGTATACGAGAGCATTTTCATCCAAATTTGGACGTCATTTTTTTGATGAATTAGTCGACTAGTGTGGTGATCTACTTGGTTATGGTATCATGGTTATATTATTTTTTTAATTTTATTGTAAAAGATCTCGAAGTTACAACACTTTTGTTTGGTAAATTTGATTGTTAGCATCATATTTATACTTCTAGTGAGTAGGGACTGTTATTTTAGAACTATATACGGGAGCATATTAGGACGTGTACTTATTTTGATTAATTAATCGATTAGTACGTTGATCTACTTGGTAATGGGATCACAATTATGCCCTTAGTATATCTCTATTGTAAAAGATATCAAAGTTACAAACATTTTAAATTTTTGTTCATGGGGTTGCCTTCAAAATTTTACTGCTAGAATAATCACTGGGGAAGCTACTGGAAGGCTATCAAATTTTTATCGTTAACCTTTATTCGTTTAATGAATTATCCTAACAAAGTCTACGCCAAGTATTGGCTTTATTTTGTATTAATTGTTTTATTTCTTTTACAGGTTACCGAATGGGAGCGTACATGTATCTATACACGGGGAAGAAGAGGGTTGATGGATCAACATTTCTACGTCGAAAATTACAGGGGTTATTTCAACGCATAATTTTATAAATATATATATATATATATAAACATATATATATATATATATGTTTTTAGTTAAGACATCGGTGTTGTAAGGATTTTTGATTATATAAGTATTTTTAATGGTACTACTATAAGACGTACCTATTAATATCATGTTATTATATTTTTAACACGTTTGAAATATTTAATTATTATATTTTTTAATTATTTAAAGGCGATTGTGTTGCTCTTTGTGATTATATAATATGTTTTGCCTGTCATGTCCTATGCATATTAATTATTTAATCAATTCTGTCAAGTAATTTATCAAGTCTGTCGCTAAAATTTAATTATTAAATTTTATCGTTAATATTTGATTCTTCCAATTATATTTTATTATTGATGTTTCATTAAAATTTTGAGATTCGTTAACTAATTAATTTTTCTCTTTCAGGTGCAGGACTACCGTGGCTTTACTTTTAAATGATATTTGGATTTGTCGATGTCGAGGTGGATGATTATTAAAAATCGCTCACATCGCGGGATTTTATATAGATCTTGATTGTTAGTATTAATTTCTTTTTAGAGGTAGTTAAGGAATACAAGGTTTAAAATTATATTATTAACTAACAAGAATGTGTATACGTATATGTATCAAAATTTTAATATTGGTTTGTATGTCTTAAGATATTAATTTTTTAAACGGCATACACTAAGATTTTATAAATGTCGATACTTTTGCTTTATATAAATGAAATATTGAATTATCATTAATCATATAATAATTTTAAATTTTGATTAATGCATTGAGATTTCGATTGTTCATATATCAAAATGATTTTATCTAATTTATTACAATTTGTTTAGGAATACTGTTGCTGGAAATATCTTTTATTAATTCTCATTGGTCAAAGCATTGATTTCTCAAGGGATTATTATTTTGTCTTAGTTTATTCGCGATATCCGTGTAGGACAAAAATCGTCGTGTTTAATATATGTACATGTATGTGTATTAATTATATTTTATTATATATTTTTCCTACACGTTATTAGAGAATATATATATATATATATATTCATTGGGGAAAAGGAAGCTTATAAATCATTTCATATTTATGGTTTGATAATCATAAAGAAATTACATAAGTAAGCGTAAATGTTTCCCTTTGTATGATTATTGTATATATTTATAATGTTAACTTATTATTTCTTTTGTTATTACAAGGGATTTCATATATGTATATATTAATTATACGAATTTAATTTTCTATAACATGGCGATTGACTATTATTGTTAGTAATTTGCCTTACGCGTATTTATTGGGTTATGTAATATATGCATGTGTCCGATGTACATATTATTAAAATTTGTATCCTTAGTTATTGGTTGGACATTTGTCATGAAATAATTTAATATTAAGGTGCAGCGTTAAATTGTGAATTTTTATATTTTGATTATATTATCTTGGAGGGTCATTATCCTCTTCAATTATTTTATAAGAAATTGTATATAGACCTTTTATTAATTACGATTGTTCTTTTTCAGGTTTCTAGTGGTGAAGATCTACATTTAAGAGAGAGTTTACGTGGAAAAAAAAGAGAGAGATGTTCAAGCCTATGACTTATGCTACAAGATTCCAACGATATATATAAGCATAGACGTTCTTATTATTATTATATTTTATTTATTCTTTTGGTTCAACAAAATGGTTTATAAATCAATTTTATTTCATTGAAAAAAAAACTCTTATTAATTTCTGGTTAACACATACTATATTTATTTAATAAATTCTGTATGTCATAAAGAATAGTTGGGGGACTTTTATTTATCCGACAGATCAAAT